CGAGACTGGCGTTTTGAGACACTTTGCCTGCGGCAGCGGACTCCCTTCAAAGAATAACGTAACACGCGACATTCTTCGCTTCTGTAAAATCAAAAGCAACTTTATACTCTCCACCACTTTCGGTTCTATAGAACGTGTGACACTCTTTCTCGATGGCAGAGTTCCCAGGGTTTCTTTTTCTTCCTCCGATTTCGAATCGAAGGTTCAAAGGTTCACTCCGATGTGGCAAGCTGAAGCTGAAGCTTCATGTTCTAAACAATACATTTGCGAGTCAAACTTCAAAGCAGCGGTGAGATTTCCTTCTTGTAACCATCCAAATCAATTACCTTTAACAACTTGAATAAAGAGTGTGAGGGCTACACTGGAGACATGAAAATGGAAACAAACTTGCCTCCAGTTTATGCCATCAGAGATCCGAGTCCTTTCTCCAGCTACTTTCTAAGTGCTTCTTAACTCTACGCGCTCTCTGGCTTCTGCGGCTTCATAGAAATTTGCAAAGTTCGGCGGGCGGAACGGTAGCTCGTGCATTTATACTGTTTGTACCATTTATATTCAGCCCGATCTTGTGCATGGTCATGGTTTTCAATGAAGAAGCTTATCGACGGTCGGACTTTTGTCTAGGAAGAACTTATCCTTGAAAGCGCCCAAATATTTTTCTTCGTTTTCCTGCAAAGAAAGGCAGTCATGTGTATACGAATTTATTTGAACAGATACATCTGCGCGAGGCTTATATGCTAAATTTCAGAAGAGCAAAGCTTACCATAAGTTTAGCCTGGCCCATGTCTCAATCACCCGATCGCCGACGGCGGGCATACATGCGCGCGAAAAAGCTTGTAAAACCGGGGAGAAGCGAGGTGTTAGGTGCCTGTGAGTTCACGAAACAGTACTATCATAGCATAAAAAATGAAGAAACTTGGTCCAACCATTAGTTTTTAGTCATGCTGTTCTTCTTTCCCTTTTTGCTCTGTATTTTTCCCACGTTTTTTCTACTGACAAGGCAGTAGACCGTATATGGACAGATACGGATAGAGAAGATTATTGCCGCGGACATAGATTTCACAAAGCTTCATTACGGTTTGCTCACGGCAAATCAGTTAGCCTGACTGAGCAGGAAATGGTCAGAACTTAACCCAGCCATTTTAA